GACCCAGATTTGAAAGGCGAAGCGCAGCGAGCTGGTAAAATCTTGTCTCTCTCTCTCTCTCTATCTCTATCTCTCTCTCTCTTTCTTTCTCTTTTTATATATATATATATACACAAATGTATATATATATATATATATACGTATAGATGGATGAATACCAGGTCCCCAACCCGGGGGGGCCGCCCACCTCAAAACCAGCGGGCCCCCTTTTTTGATACCCCCGCCCTGGCGCCTCCAAGGGGCCTCCAGACGGCCCAGGAGGCCTCCAAGACGGCCCCAGGAAACACCCAAAATGTCCATGAGGGCTCCGAGGCGCCACAAGATCGGTCCAAGACATTCAAAATAGTCCCTAGACGGCCCAAGAGGCTTTCAAGACGCCCCAAGAGGCCTCCAAGAGGCTTTTTCAAGAGGGCCACAAGAGGCAAACATGGTTGTTTCTTTTTGTCCGAGGGTTTTTGATAATTTGTTGTTGTTCTCACCTTTGTCGGCTTCCCGACGCTCCAAGATAGCCGAAGAGGCTCCCGAGATCGCCCAAAAACCGCCCCAGGAAGCACCCAAGATGTCCATGAGGGCTCCGAGGCGCCACAAGATCGGTCGAAGACGTTCAAACTAGTCCCTAGACGGCCCAATAGGCTTTCAAGACGCCCCAAGAGGCCTCCGAGAGGCTGCTTCAAGAGGGCCACAAGAGGCGAACATGGTTGTTGTTTTTTGTCCGAGGGTTATTGACAATGTGTTGTTGTTTTCACCTTTTCGGCTTCCCGACGCTCCAAGATAATTAGCCGAAGAGGCTCCCGAGATCGCCCAAAGACGGCCCAAGAGGCTCCCAAGACGGCCCCAAGACAGCCCGAGAGGGACCTAAGCGCGCGCGAAGCGCGCGCGTGGTTCTAGTGTGTATATGTATGTATGTATGTATGTATGTATGTGTGTATGTTTGTATGTTTGTATGTTTGTATGTTTGTATGTTTGTATGTTTGTATGGTTGTATGGTTGTATGTATGTGTGGGTATGTATGTGTGTATGTATGTATGCATGTATGTATGTATGTGTGTGTGCATGTATGTATGTTTGTATGTATAGATGTATGTATGTATGTATGTATGTATGTATGTATGTATGTGTGTATGTGTGTATGCATGTATGTATGCATGCATGTAAGTATGTATGTATGCATGTATGTATGCATGTATGTATGTATGTATGTATGTATGTGTATGTGCTGTTTGTATGTGTATATACATGCATGCATCCATGTATGTATGTATGTATGCATACATGCATGCATGCATACATGCATACATATATATATATGTGTGCATGCATGTATGTATGTATGTGTGTGTATGTATGTGTGTATGTGTGTGTAAGTATGTATGTATGTATGCATGCATGCATGCATGCATGCATGCATGCATGCATGCATGTATGTATGTATGTATGTATGTATTTATGTATGTATATATGTATGTATGTATGTATGGATGGATGTATGTATGTATGTATGTATGTATGTATGTGTGTAAGTATGTATGTATGTATGTCTGTATGTGTATGTATGTATGTATGTATGTATGTACGTATGTAAGTATGTATGTATGTATGTATGTACGTACGTACGCACGTACGTATGTATGTATGTCTGTCTGTCTGTCTGTCTGTCTGTCTGTCTGTCTGTCTGTATGTATGTATGTATGTATGTATGTATGTATGTATGTAGATTCCTCTTCCTATATGTTTATAAGCCCGAGCGGGGGGAAAACCCGTCCCCCCCCCCCCAAAAAAAAACGGACTCCCGGGATCTGGGGCTTTTGGGCCTTCCAGACGGGCCTCGAAGCGGCCACCTGGCCTCGCAGGGCGTTTTGCCAAGCCCTCCCAGCTCACCTAGGGCGATCAGGGGGGTCATCGGAGACGTCCCAGAGACCTCCAAGACAGCACAAGAGCGCTCCGAGAGTGACCGACGTGACCTCAAGATGGCCCAAGAGGCCTCCAGGACTGCCCCAAAGAGGCTTCCAAGAGCACTCCCAAGAAGGCCTCCCGAGGCAAAAATCATTGATTTTCTTGCGGTGTTTGGTGAATTTAGGGGTTCTCCTCTTTTCGGCTTCCTGACGCTCCAAGACGGCGGTCTTTTAGGAGTCCGAAGCCGCCTGGGAGGCTCCAAAAACGCCCCACAACCATCCGAAAGGGCTTCCAGGTAGTCCAAGAGAGCCCCAAAACGGCACAACACGGGTCCAAGACGGCCCTCAGGCAGCCCTATGGCCGCCTAAGATGGCCCAGAGACACCCTCCGAAGAACTCCAAATCGTGATTCGGTCGTTCAGGGAGACCGCGGTTGGAGGCAGGGTGGCCCGAGGAAGCCCTGGAGGCCCCCAGAATACACCCAGGAGGCCTCTAGAAGGACGTAAGAAAGCCTGAAACAACTTGTGTGAGGCCCCTAGAGACTCTCCAAGGAGGAGCCTCCGCGAAAAAGAGCTGAGGAGGATGGGGAGAATGCGCAGGGTATGGCGGAAATAATGAAAACGAAGCATGGAGGAATGATAACCAAAAACATTATTATAGCGGCGTTGCCGGAAACGGCAACCAGGAGTTATCGCTAAATTGTCGGTTTGACTTTCCTGCTATTCCGCCTGCGTGCCAAACTTCAAGGACAAAGGTGCATGGCGCGAAGCGCCACTGCAATCTTGTGTATATATATATATATAGAGAGAGAGAGAGAGAGAGAGAGAGATTCGGGCCCCGGGGGGCTAAAACATACCCATTTCCAGATCCACCGCCCGCTGGGGCACCAGGACGTGTCGGTTCCCAAGCAGTGGACGTGGGTAAATTTCCGTCTCGCAGCTTCCTCGTCGTCGGGAGGCCAGGCCGTCCGCCGCCCGCTCCAGAATCGAGGCGGAGCCTCGGCAAACGGCGGCGAGGGCGGGGTGCGGGCGCGCCTCCACCGGGAGCGCGCTGCGGCCGGCGGCGCACAGCCAGCGCCGCGCGGGGGATGCACACCGAGAGCGCAGCGGCCCAGATCTCCTACGCCATATACATCTCTCTCTGTCTGTCTGTCTCTCTCTCTCTCTCTCAGTCCAGGCGCTGTTCTCTCATATCTCGGCCCCTGGGGACATCGAGAAGGCAAGAGTGATTTGAAACAAGGTCGGTTGCGTCACCCCCGGCGCGTAGGGTCGCGCGTGAGCGCCCTCGTTTCCGATCCGGCGTGCCGCGCTGGCGCGGACCGCGGCAGGCCACCGCGTAGGGTCGCTGTGCAATCTCGCGTACGACCCGCTCCTCTCTGTCGCCGACGTACGGGGCCCATCTTAGCTTTCCTCCTCTTCCTTTTCCTCCTCCTCCTACTCCTACTCCTATTCCTCTTCCTCTTCCTCCTCCTCCTCCTCCTCCTCCTCCTCCTCCTCCTCCTCCTCCCCCCCATACTCCTCCTCCTCCTCCTCCCCTCCCATCCCCCCTCTTCCAGTCCCCTCCTCCCGCGGACGCCTGCACCGTCCGCACCTTCCGCACAGAAGGTTCCGCCGCGGTGCAGCCGCGGCCAGCGCGGCACCTGCCGCGCGGAAGGTGAGTGGAAACATGCGACAGTTACTGCCCGCGGAAATTGTGTACAACTGGCAAAATCACCAGCTTGGGATACGCTGAAGGACGAGTACATCAACAAGTGAGTGGGCTTAGGCCCCCTCCGGCGGCTCCCTCGCGGAGCCATGCGATGGCGTCCGCCCGTCCGTCCGAAAGACTCGAGTGCGCCGGAACTCGGGTTTGCCGACACTTTTCGACGAGCGCGTCCTGGATTTTGACGGTCCAGTTTCCGTTGGATGTTGACGCCGACGACGACGACGACGACGACGACGACGTCGCCAACGAAGACGACGACGAGGGAGGAGGGAGGACGACGACGGTGACGTCGACAACGACGAGGGAGGAGGGAAGACGACGACGACGACGACGACGACGACGACGACGACGACGACGACGGCGACGAAATAGGAGGGACAACGACGAAACGCCGACGAAGACGACGAGGGAGGAAGGATGACCACGGCGACAACGACGACGGAAACGACGACGACGCCAAGACGACGACGACGACGACAGCGAGGAAAGACAGAGGACGACGACGGCGACGACGACGACGACGACGACGATGAGGGAGGAGGGAGGACGTCGACGACAACGACGACGCAAGAGCGCGAGCGCACGCTTTTGTTGAACATCCGCGTTGCGACAGCGAGAGCTCGCGCCAAAAATTAGATTGGGTCTCGTCCTTTTCGTGCGAGCCCCGTCCGGCCAGCTCGAGTCCCCCGAGCCCGAGTCTTGCGTCTCCCCGAAAGGTGCGGAAGGTGCAGGTCGAGGGAAAAGGGCATAAACATGATTAAGTTTTTCGGAGCTCCTCGCAGAGTTCCTGGATCTGCGCCAGCCCCCCCCACCCCTGGCGGCGACTCCAGCGCCGCCCCTGGCGTGCTCCGCGCGCCAGAGAGGTGGGTCAGGCGCCGATCCAAGAAGTCCGCGTGGACCTCCAAGATTATGTTGGTAGCGGTCTTCTGTCCTCGATGTGAAGCGGAGGGCGACTTGAGACAACGGGAAATGGATGACCTTCGGAAGGCGCCCTTGTTGTCACGGCCGAACGCACCTTCGGAAACTTGTGCGTTTGGACCCCGGAAAGGGTCTGGGGGACTGATTTTGCGCTGCAGCTGCCTCAACTCGCCAAGCTCGGAGCCACGCGCAAGGGTGACCCTTCGCTGGAGTGGCCCCTGGCACAGGCCCACTGGGGCCACTGCAGCACTCGGATGTGGCCCCGCCGTGGCACCCCCCCGCGCCGCGTAGTTACCGAGAGCCAGGCTCGCCCAGACATGCCATCCTCCTCGGGAGCTGCGGGCCGCACTGTCAAGGTTTGGCGGGTGATTCGCCCCCCAGGGTTCCCCCGTGCACTTGGAAGCCAGGCAGTGATCGCAGGCGCCAGGCAGAGGTCAGAGTTGAACGCCAACGGGCCCGATCCCGACTCTTGCGCGCCACCGACAGGAGGCCCAAGAAGGACCCGGCGGCCGACCTGAAGGTGAAGGCGCGCGCGCGCTGGGAGGGGTCGGGGGATCGGGTCGGCCGCTGAAGAAGGAACGCTTTCCGTTGGGGAGGGGCCCAGGGGTCTGCACATGTTGCACAGCTTGTCCTGGGTGTTCCGTGGGGCTCTCTATGGGACGTCGAAGTCTAACCTGTGGAGCACAGGGGGCCCTCGTTCCTTCTTCGGGGTTCCTTACGTCAGGCGGTCGCAAACATGGATCAAGGGGGCGTGGATTCGCGACGGGTCCCGTTTCCATGGGACATCGCATATTTCCGCCGCCGAGCGAGGTTGCACCGGCCACATTTTGGGGAGGGCGCCTCCCCCGATCCATGGATTTGGCGACCGCGCGCCAAATCCATGGATCGCTAATCCATGTTTGCGCGCCCCCAGAAGATTAACTTATGGAGCAAAGGGGCATCATTCCTTCTTCAGGGTTCCTCGTGGCAGCGTTTCGACTGTTGGGAAAGGGGGGGGGAATTCAATCTTTGCTGCGTGCAGCCCGTCTCGTCTCCGCCGCCAGGCGCGTGCTCCCCGAGTTTTGCGCGGGCGCCTCCGCCGCCACGGGGGCGCCCAGAGAGTCAACCTACGTAAGCCGATTCGCGAACTTCCTTTTCACTACAGTCTGAGGCGGAGGAGGAGGAGGAGGAGGAGGAGGCGGAGGAGGAGGAGGAGGAGGAGGGGAAGAGGAGGAGGAGGGGAGGAGGAGGAGGAGGAGGAGGAGGAGGGAGGAGGAGCAGGAGGAGCAGGAGGAGGAGGAGGAGGAGGAGGAGGAGGAGAGGAGAGGGAGAAGGAGGAGGCGGCGGGGGAAGGGGAGGAGGGGGAGGAGGAGGAGGAGGAGGAGGAGGTGGAGGTGGAGGTGGAGGAGGAGGAGGAGGTCGGCTCGGGGAGGGTACCCTGGTGTTCTGCATGTTTGCCGGATGTGTTTTTGAACATCCTGGGGAGGGATATCCTTGGATGCTATGCTTGTTTTGGCCGACGGAGGGTCTCGTGTTCTCGAGGGATGTTCTTCTGGCCCATAGGTCCGCCTGTAGCACTAAGCCCCCCTTTCCTCGGCAGCGAGCCGCGGGGGGGGAGAAAGGGGAGAGGGCGGGCCTCCTCGGAAGGCGGCGGGGCTTCCCTGAAGCCCTCGCGCCTTCTTCGAGAACTGCTCTGAGCCTTCGCCGAAGACAAGGAGGAGGAGGAGGAGGAGGAGGAGGAGGCGGAGGAAGAGGCGGAGGAGGAGGAGGAGGAGGAGGACGAGGAGGAGGAGGAGGAGGAGGAGGAGGGGGAGGAGGTGGCGCGCAGCGGGGCCGGTGCGCGCCCCCGCGGCTGGCCGCCCCGCCGGGCCGGCCACGCGGGCGCCAACCGCCCTGAGGGCTCAGCCCTGAGATCCGACGGTGCAAGTCGAAGAAGATCGGCCATGCGCAGAGAGGGGTACAGTCGGAGCGCTGAAGAAGGAAACCTCTTCGTTGGAGAGGGGCTCGGTGGTCTTTGATTGTTGTGCAATTTGCCTTATGTTCCCCTACGGTTTTCCATGGGAAATCGAAGTCGAATGTTTGGGAAAAAGGGGCCTCGTTCCTTATTTAGAGTTCCTTAGGGCAACGCCCCGACTGTAGGGAGGGGGAAGGCTTCTTAGAAGCACCCCTGCTTCGTACAAGGCACGGGCCTTATCTACAGATGCAAGGCCGGCGCCTTCCAAGAAGCAGCCTGCTTCTAAGAAGCTTCCCCCCCTTCCCAAACCCCCCTCTGCGCGCCGTCAAGAAGAAACAAAACTGCATAAAGATAAATTTTCCCATGCCCCCTCGCGTTGTGAAGAAATCACGACGGGAGGTTTATCGCTACTCTCGGCTTATAGGGGCCCTCGCCGGGCCTCGGGGCCGTCAATAACGCCTCGGTGCCGAGACCTCTGGGGCTCGCGTCATGAAAAAATCATGACGTCGGGGGTCTGGGGTTGCAAGTCGAAGAAGAAACAACTGGCACAAACATCGACTTTTGGCGCTCCACACGGCTGTCTTGGATCTGCGCTGGGCTTCCCCGGCGCCGCCTCTCCGCGCGCGGGCGGGGGTCCAGCGCAGATCCAAAAAATCCGCGCGGAGCGCCAACAGTTAATGTTTATGCCGTAAATTCTGTGCCCAGCAAAAAATTACAACGTCGCGAACAATCACGACTGGAGCCGGACCGATCTCTATATATGAGGGCACTGGGTCCCGAAAAATGGAGCGAAGACGCTCTCTGTGAAAAAATCGCCACGCCAGGATCTCGGGGATGGGCCACCCGTTCCCGGACCCCCCTCCCCACTTCCCCCCCGGGCTCGCCGCCGGTCTTCTCCCGGCCCGAGGGGAGAGCGCCACTGGCGGCGGCGTGCGCGCGCCGCTCTGCCGCAACGCCCCCGCTGCCGCCGCGAGCGGGCGGGGAGCGAGGGCGCCGGGGGCCCGGAGCCGGCCGAGGGGGCTGCGAGGTGGGGCATCGCCGGCTCTCGGGACGACCGACAGGGGTAAGCGCTGAAGGTCTTCCGTTGAAGGGCCCCTCCCCCCTCCCCCGCTTTCTCCAGGCAGGGAATAGGACTGGTCCTAAAACCCCCTCCTCCTCCGCTTCCTCCTCCTCCTCCTCCTCCTCCTCCTCCTCCTCCTCCTCCTCCTCCTCCTCGGGGGGGAGGGAGGGAACAAGTCATGAGTTAATCTCCCATTGGGGGAACCCGGTCCTTCAATCAGGCCGCCTGAAAGAAGATGTGTTACCCCATACTGGGGTGGTGGTTCTGAAGACCTTTCAGCGTTCCAGAAACAGCGGGTACACAGTCCAACAGCAGTGGCATAGTTTCTTCTGCGGTCGCTGTGCATTTGAGGCAGAGGGCGGCCTGCCCGACACCTGCCGCTGTCGGTTTTGGACCGCGTTTTTTGTTGGGCATCGTACGGATGTGTTCTGTACTCATGGCGTCTAAAGGTCCAGGACTCCCAGATGGGGTCCGAGAAGATGGAGTCGGAGGATTGCGCCGCACCGCCGATGCATCGCCAGTGCGGCTCGATGCGGAGCCCGAGTTTCTCCACGCCGATGGCGCCCACGCATCGCCGACGTCGCCGATGCATCGGCGACGAATCGCCGATGTGTCGCCGATGCGGCGCGATCCTCCGACCCCATCTATTCGGACCCCATCTAGGAGGCCTCCAAGGGGCTCCAGCCGCCGGTGGTGCAGTCAGGGCGCTGCAAGAATGACCGCTCCGTGCTCTCGGGAGGGGCTCGTGCTCTCGGCCCGTGCCCCTTGGAGTTGTTGTTCCGTGGAGCCTGTCTGTGGCCCAGGCCCGCCGTGGCCAGGGAAGCTGCTCCGTTCCTTCTCGTGCGCTCCCTATTCTTGGCATCGCTCGGACGTGTGCATTTTGCTTTCGGCGAGGACCATCGAGAAGCATCCTCGATCATCTAGCGAAAAATACGCACGAAATCGAGAAATGCACGGGGAATGGACGTCCGAGCGATGGCGAGTATATGACCCATGAGCCATTCGGAACCGACTCGGAACTCAAGACGGAGCATGAAGGGCTCGAGGGAGCAGCACCGTGCATGACTGTGCCGCTCCGCCGCCTCGGGGGCGCGACGGGGCGATGGCGTCGTAGGGGCCCGGAGCCGGTTGTGGGGGGCTGCGAGGCGGGGCAGCGCCGTCTCCGGCCACCGCCGAGCAGGTCGGGGGAGCGAGTCGGTGGTTCCAAGATGGGGTCCCTGAGGGATGGGGTCCTAAGGAAAGGAGGGGATCCGGATCCAAGGGTGGATTTACATTCATTGAGTGAGGCACCTCGTCCTTAGGACCCCATCCCGCAGGACCCCATCTTTGAACTCCCGAGTGAAGCACCGCTAAGTAGGCCGCTCCCGAGGCGGCGGAGGAGGAAGAGGAAGAGGAGCACGAGGAGGAGGACGAGGAGGAGGACAAGGAGGAAGGAGGAAGGAGGAAGGAGGAAGGAGGAAGGAGGAAGGAGGAAGGAGGAAGGAGGAAGGAGGAAGGAGGAAGGAGGAGGAGGGAGGAGGAGGAGGAGGAGGAGGAGGAGGAGGAGGAGGAGGGGAGGAGGAGGAGGAGGGGTAGGGAGGAAAGAACCACTGTGCATGCCGCTCCTTCCGCCTCGGGTGGCGCCAGGAGCGAGGGCGTCGGGGACGACTGTTCAATCATTTTTGGGTATGCTTGAATCTGTTTTTACTATGTTCAATTTTTCATCCAAAATCCGCCTGTAAGACGACACGCCCGACCTAAGCCTCGGGATGATGGGTACATTTTCCAACATCCCTACCATATGCAGGACGGGGGAGAAGGGAGGATGAGGAGGTTCTCCTCCTCCTCCTCCTCTTCCTCCTCCTCCTCCTCTTCCTCCTCCTCTTCTTCCTCCTCCTCCTCCTCCTCCTCCTCCTCCTCCCTCTCCTACCTATGGTAGTGGTGGTGGAAACTAGGCCCATCACGGGAGGCGCGAGGGGCGATGGTCTCGGGGGTCTGGGGCCAGCCAGTGCGCTCGGCAGCGGCTGGATCCCCGGCAGGAGGGGCAGTTGTTTTCAGCTCCCAGCTTCGGAGTCTGATAGGACTCGGGAGGGGAAAAACCACACAGATGACAATTCATCGTCGACCCCGAGGAAATACGTGAAAATACGGGAAGAGGGGGGGAGGACGAAAACCCGGCAAATATCCGAAATTATAGGATCTCTTGTGATTTGTGTCTATCTATTTGCGTGTCCCAGGGCCTCTTCGCTGTCTTCAGCTCAAGGCTCGGAGTCTGACGGGACCTCCGCCCTGCCAGGCCGAATCTGCGTTGCTGGGGTTCTCGAGAGCGTGGTGAGCCTCCGCCGGGTTGGGTCCCGGGCCGGTTTTCTTTGCATGGTGTTTCAGTGGAGGAGGGCCTTCGGAGGCCCCCAAACGGAGTGGTGACCACACAGTGCGGTGAGTCGTCAGGGATTCGGGGTCACCACACGGTCGTGGTACTCGGGTCGTTCTCCGAGGACGTCTCGGGCGACCAGGACATCCGAGGTCCCAAGACCATGCGTTGATTGACCGTGCGGTGAGGTGTTGGGGGATTTCGAGGACAACGTGCGGTTTGTCACCGCACCGTTTCGGGACTCCAAAAGTTCAGTGGAGGAGGTCCTGCCCACCCGCGAAAGCTAGCACCCCCTACGTCAGGGGCGGCCAAGAGGGGGGTGATGATTGGGGGGGAATATCATGGCGGTGGCCGTGATATCTCCGCAGATTTCATGGCGCCCCCTCTTATCTCAATACGTTCCCTGGTTCCCCCCCTGGTCCGCGCACATGCCGCCGGCCATGATTTGCACTCCCCCTCTTAGACGACCCCGCCAGGCCGCCCCCGACTGCGTGCATGCCACATAGTTCGGTACAGGTCGGAGGAGGAAAAGCGCCATAACCATAAACTTTGGCTTTCCGCGCGGATTTCTTGGATCGGCGCCTTGGGCCCCCTGGCGGTGCCTCCGGCGCCGCCCCTGGCGCGCTCCGCGCGCCAGGGAGGGTGATCTGGCGCGGATCCAAGAAGTCCGCGCGGAGCGCCAAGAGTTTATGTTTATGGCGTTTTTTCTTCTACTACGTACAGCCACATAGTTCGGTACAGTGTCATCGCGCCCATCATCATGCTCCGTAGCCGTTTCGGTTCAAGCCACTTTGTTTATTTCTATTTGGTAACGCCGCTCAGCTTGGCTTGCACGCTGACACGTTTACCAATGCGCCAGACTCCCGCGGTGGACTTGTTTTTCCAGGCATAGCCGCTTTAATGCCGTCGGCACTGTGTTATTAGGTGGAGACTAGAGGAAACAGTAAATGGACACCACATGTGTTCCGTGTTGCGACGGGCAGCTTCATGCATTGCAGGGGACTTGGCAGAACATAGAGCTCCCCAACGAGCTCTACTTGGTGCAGGACCGCACTGTCTCCAGGGTCCGGCAGAGTACGTCCGAGAAGACCGTATTCAATAACGTGTTGGTGGTCGACAAAGTGCACGATCGCATCCAGTGGGGCGTTAAGGGGAAGTTTATTCTCGGGTGGGTTTCTGGAGAGGAATGCGCTGGTTTGCTGGATGAGGTCTCATGGACGGTGCCAGGGGCGGACACGCGTGCTCCAGGCGGCAGGACGAAAGAATGGCGGTGGAAGCGTCTTGACTCCTCAGCCCTTCCAGCCGAAACATTTTCCGATTCGCTGGTCGTGGTGGCAGCGGAGGCATCGCCAGAGGCTTTTTGGCCTCTTGCAAATGCAGCGTGCAGCTCTTCGATCGCCGCCTCCACAACTCCGTCCGCAACCGCGGCTGAATCACACCTTTCCCAACCTGGCGCAGTCCCTGGGCTGGCTCTGGGAACGCCCCCCTCAGCGCCACGGCCAGTAGCGCCGAGGCCTCCGTCTTGCCCACCACCACCACACCTCGTGGCGCCTTCCCAGGCACTGGGCACGGAGCCAGAGGTGGTCGCGGCGATCCAGGGACACTGGCTGAACAGCGCGGACAGCACGGAGTCGTACCGCGTGTGCGGCCTCGACGTCGCGCGCCACAAGGCCAGCAGGATGGAGGTGAGGACGTTCCGGCTCCGCTGGAACGCGGCCTCCCGCCGCATCGAGTGGGGCCTCGGCAAGTACTTCCTGCAGCCGCCGACCTCGGCCGCCATGCCGCGCGCGGTCTGGACCCCGAGCGACGGCAGGGGCCGCGGCTTCTCCTGGACCCGCGCGGGCGGGCGGGCGGGCGAGCCGCCCGTGGCGCCCACCGCGAGCGGCCTCGGGCCCGCTGCCCTGTCGCCGCTGGGCCTGGTCAGCACGCAGCGGCCCCCGGCGCCCCCGCCGCCGCCCCCGCCGAGCGCCGCCGCCGCCGGGTGCGGCGCGGTGCTGCTGCAGCTGGCGGAGGCCGAGCGGGCGCAGCTGGAGTGGCAGCAGCGGCTGCAGGCGCAGGCCGAGCCGCAGCAGGGGTGGCTGCAGCAGCAGCTGCAGCAGGAGGCGCTGCGGCAGCTGCGGCACGTCTGGTGCCAGCACCACGCCGTGGCCGTGGCGCCCCAGCCGGCTCTGCACCGCGTGGCGCCGTATTGAGGTTGGGGCCTGAGGCTCGTGGCCCGCCTCTCCCCTCTCCCTTTTACGCATCTCCCTCCCTGGCAGGATCCCTCACGCTTTCGTCGTCTCTCACCCCGCGCGTCTCTCCTCCCTGCCTTCCCTTCCATCCCCCCGTTCCTCTCTCCCTTCCCCTCCCCATCCCCTCTTTCACTCATCCCCTCTCTACAATTACACAATATGAAAATACTCTCCCACTTCCCCTGATGGCGTCCCGAAGATGTCCGACACCCCCCGCGTATTGTTTTTTTACACAGGATTCCCGGGAAACGGGTTTCCGCTTGTGTTTTTTGTTCAAAATGCTGCTCCCGCTGAGGCGCCGGCCTCATTTCTGCTCCCGAATCGTTCCGAATCGTGCTCCCGCTGCAGCGTGGGCCTCATTTTCGGATCGGTGTTTGGCCTCCGTCGTTCAGGATGGCGTTCTCGCCCCAGCGCGGGCCTCTTTCTCGCGCGCCCATCCGCCCGCCACCACCGCGCCGCACCACCACCACCACCACCACCACCACAACCACCACCACCACCACCACCACCATCACCATCACCAGCACCACCACCACCACCACCGCAACCACCACCACCACCACCACCACCACCACCACCACCACCACCACCACCACCACCACCACCACAACCACACACGCACGCACGCACGCACGCACGCACGCGCACCACCACCCACGACGCACGCGCACGCGGAGCCACAAGTCCGCTACGACACGCGTCCGCGGATGGAGAAAATCAGCGCCATGGTAAGGGATGGGAGGGATGGGTAGGACGTCAGATATGACGCGAGCGCACCTAGCTTGGCCCTCTCCCCTCCCCCCTCTCCCTGCGGCGTGTCTCTCCCTCTCCCCAGTTCTCTCCCGACCAGACCAGACCGTCCTCTTCGACAAGTGTCGGCCGGGGCAAAGATGTAGGATGGGCCATCGGAGGAGATCTCAACCGCCAGGTCGCTGATCTGCACCTGCACGGGCAACCGATCAAAACTCGTCACTAAGTGAGTTTGGTTGGGAGTTACATCAACGTGGCGCCAGAGACCGAGGGATCTGGAATCAACTTCGAAATTTCCATTGTTGCCGGGGTGAAAAGGCCATTAAACGCCCCCCGCCCCTAATCGACGCCTCCAGGAAGGCATCAAACTAACGACTCGATCAGTCCGATCCCTGGCCGCCAGCATCAGCACCACTGGCACGGACATTCCAGCCACAAGCGACAGAGCGCGGAATTTTTACAACACGGCTTTCGCGGCCATCAGACCCAAAAGGCGTTCCTGGCGCAATGGACACTCTACACTCTAGCGCTTCGTGGTCATTCGATTGGGCTTTGCGCTATCATTCAAAGAGATGTGCTAT